TTTTGTTGACCTTTGTCCATGGAAGGTCCCTGCAAAATTTCATTGAAATTGGTTCAGGGGTTTTGGAGAAGAAGTCGAAAATGTAAATTGTTTACGGACGCACGACGGACGACGGACGACGACGGACAAAAGGCGATCGCAATAGGTCACTTGAGACTTTGTCTCAGGTGACCTAATAAATGTTCGATCACATCCTCAAATGGAGAAGGGGAAAAGCCAACAGGATGATGGTTGTCTTGGGTTGAAAGTGGATTATAGACGGAATGATTTAACATCCTGTGAAGCTTTTTCAGACTGATAAAATTTCAAAGTAACCGTTCTATACCGAGCATACAAGTATGCTCTCTTGGCTCTAGGGTGAATGAACAATCAGGTAAAGACGCAGAGGTAACTTATTGTCATGTATATCCTTTAACTTAACAATAAATTGATATCAAATTAAATGAAATAATGACTGCTCATCATTCTGACAATCATTGGCCCATGTTTAGCATCATTGTGCATATGGTAGGTTCAGGCTAGAGGCCCCAATCCATCACAGAGAACAAAGCTCCTCCTCCATAGCTGCTCGTTTATAGTCGCAGTGGCATAGACTGAATATCAAGGTGAAAACCTCAGAATTTTCATTTGAAATGGATCTCTTGAGACACACATCTGATCTATGGTCTGCCAGTTGATATGCTGCTACCTAATGATCAGTGGCTACCTACTGTACACAATGTACAGATACATCACTCCCCCCATCAATCAGCCGCGCCTTATTGATTTTCACCGAGGCAAATGTCAGCTGTTATGTAAGATCTGATGGGCTTCTATATAAACACCGTGTTGTGCATCACTATATATTCACTTTCACATTGGGTACAACAACTTCTATACATACACAGTGTTGTGCATCACTATATACACTTTCACATTGATGTACAACAATTCCAACTTCTATATAAACACAGTGTTGTGCATCACTACATACACGTTCACATTGGTGTACAACAACTTCTATATATACAGTGTTGTGCATCTTTCACATTGGTGTACAAAAACTTCTATATATACACAGTGTTGTGCATCTTTCACATTGGTGTACAACAACTTCTATATATACACAGTGTTGTGCATCACTATATGTACAAAAACTAACTCATCTAATTGTATCACTGAATGTGAATTGCCAATAAATGGCAACAGAATAATTTTTATTTAATTCGAGAGCCTTTCTAAACTACAACCGTCTCTCTTTTTGAAATTGAACTAAAGTGCTATTGTAAGAAATTTATTCTTTCTTATACAAGGCAATGAAATGTAAGCATTCAGTAATTATCTTCTTTTGACAAACTTTGTGACAAACTTCAGTTATCACAACTCTGAATGTTGTGGGGAATACAACAAATTTCAGTATGCAACGTGTGCACTCCATCATCTCAAAAAAAACTCGGGAATGAAATTTGAAAATTATAGATAAAGAGTCAATGTATTTCTCAGATTCTTTCCCAATTCAACTAACCGGGACCCGGTGATGCACAGATTGATAAACAGAAAGCAAATTAAGGGTAACTGACAACTGATACTACAGCTTGGACATTCCTTGACAACTAGTGCTATGGCTGAGGTCATCCTTGACAACTATGTTTGGGAAACTCCCTGACAATTGGTGCTACAGTTGAAATCACCCTTGACAACTGATGTTACAGCTGAGATTGTCCTTGACAACTGATGCTCTTGCTAAGATCTTTCTTGACAATTTATGCTATGGACAGAATGGTCCTTTAGTGCTATAGTATATGCTGTCATCAACATCTAGTGCTACATATGGGATTGTTCTATACATGAATATACATTGTACATGACAACTGAGTATAAACTTAACTTATTAGCTATAATTTGGATTTCTTCATATTTTAATGGTCAAAATATTATAATCATATCTTCTTTTGCACCAATACTGTGGTTGACTGGATTGCAGTTTAATGAAACCCCCATCAAGTGTGGAACACCTTTTACTCAAATGGATCCCATACAGGAAATATACCTTACAAAGTCTGAATACACAGTTATTGTGACTCTTTACTAGGTCTACAGTGACTCTGATTCTTAACAAGGTCTACAGTGACTATGATTTTTACAGAGTCTATGGTGTCAAATTGTTTACAAGGTTTATGAGTACTATGATTCTTGACAAGGCCTAACCTACAGAGACTGTGATTCTTTACATTGATTATGATTCTTGACAAGGTCTGTGGTGACTGATCCTTTACAAGGTCTTCATTGACTATGATTCTTAACAAGGCCTATGGTGACTATGAATCTTCACACGGTCTATGGTGACTAAATGACTCTTCACAAGGTCTTTGGTGACTATGACTCTTCACAAGGTATATGGTATGGTAACTATGACTCTTCACAAGGTCTATGGTGACTATGACTCTTCACAAGGTCTATGGTGACTTAATGACTTTTCACAAGGTCTATGGTGACTATGACTCTTCACAAGGTCTATGGTGACTATGACTCTTCACAAGGTCTTTGGTGACTATGACTCTTCACAAGGTCTATGATATTGTGACTATGACTTACTTGCAGGGAAGTATCCTAATGACATCAGAGGCCTTGTACCCCTCTATACACACAGCACATTGGTCAAACTCTGACTCTAGTTCCTGCAAAATACAAAATACTTATCATTAATTCACCTGTACATATATAAAAATTTGTTGGTTGTATTGGCACATTCATTCTGACACCTTACCCAACTTAGGTCTGAACCCCTTAAAAAGTGCTACATCAGGATTATCTACATCTGGTAATACATATACATGGAGACTATGTTCAGCAACACAGACAATTCAATGACCTTTGTATTTCTGCAGAATCAATCCCATTTACCAAGTATTTCTTCATAAGCAAAATAAACCTAAATGCAGTGGCAGCAACAACATTAAGCTAATTGTATATATCTACAGATGCAAGAACTAATTTAATCACAGGCTGATACAATAACTGATAAATCAATACCTGTTTCTACTGTTACACCTTATGTCCTCACCCTAGTATAACATACTGTTTTACTTCCAATAAAACCCGGCATTTGCAGGAAGCCTCAAATAATGTGGGGGGTTTTATCGAGTTTTCTTACTTTTTATAACATTTCTGTAAACCTTTCAAAGTGGTGGAAAACATTTTCTAGCAATTTGTGTATTTTAGCATCAACCACAACTGTTTGTGTAAAATATTTATTTTTACCAACTTCAGCTTTTAAATTAGTTCTTATAATCATTGGAGCTTCAAATGCAATAAGATCATCAAACCTATGTAACCTTATTAGAATGTATACACTTTCTATCACATTGTATGTACATCAGCAAGTACTTCCACCACTATATGTAATAGATTGATGAGTATCTACAACTTATGAATGGGATAGGGCAAACATTTAACCTCATTTCCCTCTTTTATAAAATCAATTTCAGCTAGATACAACAAAAGTTCGGTTTAACTAATTTTTTTTCTTATCTTCAAAATTAATCCTCTCATTCTACATTACAAGCCTTTTTTGTTGCTGCCTTCACCTCCCAAATCCTAGAAATTGAAATTTGCTCACTCAAAAACTCAGTCACTACACATGAAGCAATCATGTCCACATAATTTTATAATTATTAATAAACTACTCTGAAAACATTTTAAAGCATACATTATTTGAGGCAAAAAATGGACTCTTCAGGAGTTTGAATTTAATCGCTCGAAAATATTTTCATAATGATGAATCCTGTATCCTTGACCTTTGAACTTTATATAAATGTGGTGTCGTTAACCTATGAAGGACTATAACTACAAGTACAGGCACACAAACCTTGTCTCCAGTCTTAACTGTACGCTGGGGTATTTTAGCTATTGCCTTCTTGGCAGCACTTGCCAGTCGTCTCTGTAAAATACAAAAATATTCATTACTATTTTAAATAAATGACATTTTGGGAAAAGGCCATTTCCAAATTGTAATAAGGCAGCATATATATATATTAACTAGTGATCTGTTATATAGAAATTCTGTATCTTAGGTTTTACATCCATAGGATAAATAGGCGAATCGAGTATCTTTATATTAACAAATTTACAGTGATGATAAAAACACCAACTGATCATTGACACCTAATTTACATGTTCACAATTGCAAGTCCCTTTGTACATGTACATTGTGCATATTTACATGTCAAGTTTTCAAATTTGTTATTTTCAAAGAAGTTTTAATTACCAATACTTTGTCTCGGTCATTATCTCATCAGCTCCCTATACAGTGTAACAACCTATTCACCTCAACACAAGTCCATAATTGATAAATATCCTTATAACAAACATCTCCAATACAAGGTGAACAAGGGAGATAACAAAGCTTGCATTTTTTGTGTGGTAAGTTTAGTTTTTTTAATGGTCCTAACAACTTATACCATATATTTCATATCTACAGTAAAAAGTCCCTTGACCAGGACTAGTGCAGATAAATACGACTATTTGGGGGATAATTTCCTAAACTATCATATGTACACCTTGTCCAGACTATCAGATTGGACATTTTTTCTCCCTCCTCATATAAACGATACCAACTGATCATTGTGTAACATGTGAAGATACACATTTATGACCAAATTTACCAGACCTTATGATTAGAACACCGAGACCTGTGAGAATGTCTGCAACCTTGACACCTCTTCAAGGAGATGAACCCTCTGATCATCGGTGGTGTGGGGCCTGACTGGTATCAGTGAAGACCTGCTTCGCTGATACACACTTTGTACTTGTACATGCGCTTCAACTGACTGCATTCTTTCTATTCTCTTGACAAAGCCTTGTATATTTTTTCATCTATACACTTTTTATCTTTTCTGACTGAATAAAAATCTATTACAGCAGATTTTCCAATAGGAAGGACTTGGAAGTCAGCCATATCTGTTCCCAGACGTGATATTTGATACCACATTTGTTAAATTGTTTTTAGTAGGGAATGTCTCCACTATGCTGAAGATGACCAGCACATACAGTAGTGTCAGAGGAAGGCTGTATGTTTCGCAACACTTTGTCAGGGTGTGTGTATATATATACACAATGTCTAGGTAGAAAACAAAAGCATGTAGACTTTCCACCACGTAAATACTTATACACATCACTCAAACCTAAACACTGTAAACACTGACCCACTTTCTGCACAAATCCAGCTATTACATGGTGTCGAAAGTAAAAACTAATATACAGAGTTGTCAACTTAGACCTCCGTTATTAAAAAACTAAAAATATTGGAAATTTGATCACATCAGTGATGTAACAACTCTTTCCACTGGTTATAAAAAATAACCGTTTATCATTATCAATAGGTAAAGAGGACGTGGTCATGGTCATCTTTACCTATTGATAATATACTACTACGGCCGGACTCGTGTATTCCTTGTGACTACGGATCCACTGAACTCCCTGCACGGACGTTGGATCTCCCATCCCCCCCGAATTTATCATTATACGTAGATATGGCATTTGACGTGCCTGTAATCTTTTGATTCCGTAGCCATGCATGTGTATATACGTAATGCTCTGTCTAAGAACTGGTCCAGGACAAGTTTGTTTTGTCGAGAGAGGGTATGTGCATACATGTACATATCTGATAATTTCTGCACTTAACTTGTCAAATAGGACCACTGGCTGTAATCGCATCTACAAAATGTAACATTAGCTGTATTATATATCCTACCAATAGTGCATCTTCATTTGTATGATGATTATTCAGAGTTCAAATTTGACCATTATATGATTCTGGTTTTTATTTTTCTGAAACAAGAATACAAGATGCTGACTGGTAGCTATATTGTTTTCAAATTTTAGGAGGGTTTACATATTTTGAGAGAAATTTGCTAGACATGCACACAAAAATGTCTATGAAATAACCCATCATATCGACTAACAACACGTCCCTTCTCCATTTACATGTTTGGGTTGGTATATTACGATAATAATAATGAAACATGCATACACACAAAACAAAATTCTTTGGCCGGTTAAGACAAAAATCTGTATTGAACAGTTTACTCTATATATTGATATATATATATCTGTACCAAATTGCAAAGTTTTCATATATTCTATACAAAGATATACTGAAAATTGGTATAATGTGAGATCCTTAAGTTTTTATGCTACACTTTCTTCAAAATTGAATATGCAAGTAATTATATTCCAACGGTCACTACTACCAGTCATGAAATAACTATCGATGTTGGCCAACATCCAGCCATATTGTATACATGCTTCCAATATACTTGGTAATCTGTCCTCATCAGTGTCCAATCCCATATACAATCATTGCCTATACATGCTATTTGCAGCTGCCTGCTTCCCCCCCCCCCCTTCTTTCCATTTACAACTGTTTACAGTCGTAATTTCTCAATTGCTTCAAATAGCAATGTGTACCCTGATGAGTCACTTACATATATATACATGTATCTAGCTATAGGGAACACCACACCAATGTCCTTGCTTTGAACGCGATATATGTTGTGGTGCATTAATTATTATCATATTGCCTATATTTACCTGCAAGCATGCCGATTAAATTAAAGAGCACCACGTGCACTAGCACAGGTACCAGGTATTTAAAAAATGAAATATTAATGATCAAGATCATCAGTTATTTATGATCATGATTACAAGCTGAATAATTATATAAATTGTAATGAACTTGTAATACCCAAGTATCCATATAAGGTAAGGGATTGCATTTGTTTTATTTATAAATTCAACAATGCTTTCAAGGTATCATGGAACAATACTTATCCCCAAATCAGTGTTGAAGTGATGCTCTTTTTATAGAAACGAGTATCCAAACCTTTCTGAAATTGGTTTGTGAAGAAGCAATTTGTGAAATTTTAATGCTATCAACCAACTTGGACTTGAGCCTTTGTGGGGAAAGCATTTTTCTATTAGCATTAACAATGACCTTGACTTTTGACCTTCATACTTGAATACCAATCTTAAGCAAGCACTTCTGTAAGTAGACAGTATTTGTGTTTGTTTTTTTGGCTGATGGAAACTCAAGTTTTTGTGCGGAAATCAAATGTTCTTTTAAGAGCAACAATGATATTTGACCTTTGTGTTGTCAGTCATGAAAACATATCCAATGCAGAATTTCCAAAAAAAAGCACAGTATTAAGCTTGATTTTTATTGGCCCATCATAACTGAAGATACTTTCTATTTATAGTCAAAGTGACTGTGACCTTGACCTTGTTTTTTTTTGCCTAATGGCCCAGCAACAATAATCACACCTTTGATCTTGGCCTTTATAATTTATCATCATAAATAAGCAGCATGATCAGCTATAGTTCATGTGTAGAGGAATATAAGTTTTAGTTTTCTCTTCAGGATTTTGAATCCTCACAGAAGTCAAGATTGTAGACAATTATAGATGATAAGGCAAGGCAATATTAAGCACGTGTGATCCATCTTGTTGCCATTGGAGAATAAGGATGACGGTATCTGTAACATCCCATAAGCAGGGCAAGATGAGTTCCATCAAGGGAGATAATTGAGATTGAATATTGCAGAAACAAACAAAAATATGCAGAAAGTCATTTATTCCAAATACCAGATATACATGTTTATGACACTTGTGTAAAAGCTACATATGTAATAAATAGGTTATAATGTTGGCCTTATACCAAGTATGTGCTTATGACTGGTAATATATTGTGAAACACTGATGCATTATGTATTGACTAATATTGGTATTGATTCTAGGAGGTGATGTTCATTCATTATTTGTATGTATAGTATTATTGCAATGATAGATAGTCATATCAGGAGCACCACTACTGAAGCAGGAATGGTCTTTTCAGAGTTCACATTCCGTTACCATAGCAACCAGTTATAAATAATTACATCATTGTGTGTCCTTATGAGAATATGCTTAAGGGTGGATATCCTATATTTATGTTGGCATTTTCAACAACAACGGCTTTCAAATGAATTGTTTTTCTCAACTGAATTCTTTGAAGCACACTTGAAACCTTTAATGTTGAAACAATCTAAAAGATCATAACCATTTCTTCAAATCAATAATAACATGTAGCAGCATTGGCAAAAACACCTTGGATCAGGAACAAGATTAATATATATTTATTCTCATCATAGATGACTCTACAACTTGTCCTCAGCACTCTCCCAATAAGGCAGATTACTAGGTAGTGATAGAATTCTATAAGGAGCTTCATGTATGTATGCAGTAGTAGAAATAAATCAATTTCTGTCCAGATCACAGCGTGTCACAACTCCCAGGCTTCTTCACAACACAAAGATTTGGATCAATATCTTGCTAGCATCATTGTCTAGGATCTGTTTTTGACATTCCAATGCTCAGCATGTATGTCTATACCAAATGCAATATGGCTAAGAGTAGGGTTTCAACTTCTTTAGATACATGTATATGTACATGTCCACATAATTTAAGAATCAATTTTCAAAACAGTATATCTGTACAGTGTTGCTCTATATTGTGATCAGGTATACACAAATGCCAATGCAACGGTATTTTGGTGACAATATAATGCGACAGTACCAAACCAATGTCAGTTTTGCTGAATCACTAACAAGATGTAATCAACTTCCATAAGCGCCTCCACAAGTGTTGTCTCCAACAGTTGGATCACGATTTGACTCCAAGGTGAACTTTTACCAAGAGGCTGTTGCCACCTACATGCAATGATTAGTTTCATAATGTTTTTGCGAGTCAAGAATTATCATACTAAACAAGAAAAATAACATGAATTCAAAACATTTCGAATTTACAATATACAATTGTAAAACATTCAAGAGTTTCTTTCAATTATCTTTTTTTCCAGATCTGACACTTTCTTTATTTGAATAAATTAATAATACATATATAAGCAACCAATAAATATAACCGAGATTACGAAATAATATCTTCACATCAATTTACTCATCATTTCCACCCCACATCATCCAATGCAAGATACTGGCCAAATAGCAGGGCTCACCTGGAACTTCCAATTTTCAAACGAAGAAGTTAAAAGAAAGAAGTTGACAGATGAACGGCAACATTATGGATGCTGCACTACATACCAATGGCTACATGTACTTATCTCATGTGTTCTGACCGTATACAATACCAAACCCTCATTGTCAGAATTGTCAGAAGCAAATATGTATACTAAAGTAATGGTAATATTATTGAAATGAAAATTATAAATGACCTAATGGGAGCACTGCAGGGATATGAAAATTATAACTTGGTTATCCTAAAATTCTGGATTTTTCGCTGTTCCACATTTCAGAATTTCTAGAAGTGGCCCATTTGTCATTGTTAGCTAGATGATTCTGCCACAAATTGTGCTGTTTTAAACAAAGCTGTGATCAAGATTATTTAACGATACATTGACCAATTAATGAAGTCTATTAGGAACGATAAAACACTTTACCTTAATAATAGGGGATTTAAAATTATGATTGGGATAGTGATTAAAGAGATCTCCATGTCTCCAGTTTGTCAAAATATAGCTTATTTGAGGAAAAAATGTATCTTGATGAAGATGCCCCTGCCTCTTGTTAGGTACCCATGTTCAGGAGCCATATCAGGTAAAATATGGCATTGTGTAATATAAAGACTGGAGTTTCACTAATCCAGCTTAATTCAAACTGATGGATAACGGGAAATTTGTACCAAGCTGATTACAACACAGCTCATCACTGCTGACGCACAATTGTTATGAAAAGCTGAGCAAAAACACTGACTGGATATAATTGGGAAACCCAGACGAGTTGTGGCTAGATTACAATAAAACCTGACTGTACTTCTCTTACGCCTGCATATCATCATCATGTGTATCATCATCATGTGTATCAATATTGACAAACATTTTTTTTGTGGTTCATTGACAGAACTGGTGGAAATCTCATCAAAATGTTTGTTTTCATTTTATATACCGATGTACCAAAAGCAGTAACTATCATTATTCTTTATATATTCCATCATTATAATCAAACAGCTAGAATCAATGTATGTCATTCTAATCTATCAAAATTTCAAATATAATGTCAAACAAGAGATCCCAGAGGGATCTTGGCGCCCACCATTGTACCATCTTCATTAGTTCTTTGTCAATTCAATCTTTTCTCTTCTTTCCTCTAATCTGTTTGATCGAGTCATGTTAACAGTTAATGCACCGTGAGGTAACTTTTGATCTAAACTTAATACTGATGTGTATAAAAGACAACCTTCAAAGTGAGTTTGTCATTTCACATAATTACTAGTACAGTACTTAATGTGAAAGAAATAGAATCGATCATTGCAATATTAGAAAGATCTATTTAGTTCTTCCTTTAGTCATTTTGTTTTTATGATCAGTCTCAAAATATAACATGCACAATGAGGGATCAAGGGGAACCTACATATCAAATTTGAGAAAGATCCCTCAAGTTATTCCTGAGAAATAATACTAACAAACCTTCAATGTGAAAAATCATAGATGGCTGTCGGTAGGCCATTTTGTTTAACTGATCAGTTTCAAAAGTAAACATGAACAATAATGGAATTGTTTTTGGGCGAGTAAAAAATTTGAAGCACTGACCCAAATGACATATTGGTGGCCCAAATAATTTTGGGAAGAAATATTTCCACAGCATTTAGCACAATGCTTCAGCACTTTAAATTACATATAACATGACAATGTTTGTAATATGTAAAACAGAATAAAACATTGTATTTTTAATTCTTCAACCCTAGCTAAAACCTGACATGATCCACTCCAATTAGGTCTTCCCAAAAAGAAATACATAAAACCCGCACCTCAAAGGCAGTATCTATATTGAAAATCTGGAAAATAACACATTTTCTAAATGTTGTACAGTTCGATTCAAATCGAAGTAATGACAACCCAGTTAATGTGGAAGGGACTATAATTTCTTTTATTCATTAATTTTTCGGCAGTCCCCCAAACTATTTTTGTTGGGCCAGTGACTACCTCACTTTTGACAACTTTTGGTCGCTCCAGCAAGACTTAAACCGCCATTGGCGAGCAGGTGACTGTCCATTTTAGGCACTGCTGCAACAACAAGGGAACGAGGAAAACCTACATAAAATATTTGAGAACGATCCCTCTGGTACTTCCTGAGAAATAGCGATAACAAACTTTCACTATCAAATCCAAAGATAGCTGCCTGACGGCCATGTTGTTCATCTGATCAATCTCAAAAGATCCCTCTGGTACTTCTTGAGAAATACCGATAACAAGAATTGTTTAAGGACGGACGCGGACCACGGACGCAGGGTGATTTGAATAGCCCACCATCATCTGATGGTGAGCTAAAAATTAACATGTTCCTTAAGTTTGTTGGTATTTATAGACACACATCTGATAGCTATAGATAACCATGGACATATATACAGATAAACAAGCTCTACCAAACTAATCATCGAAATTTCTCTCAATGCTAACAAACGTTTCTTAATAGTTAATACAACAGAACTGCTTTTAATATAACAGAACGTCACTTAATCTAACTGAACATCTGTTAATATCCTCGAAAAGTCTTAATGATTAAGAGAAAATCTATTACAGTAGAGTAAGTGAAATCTATTCCCTTGAGAGAACAGACAATGAACAGAACGATTCTTGATGAGCTATGTCTTCATATCAGGGCTCAGGTAAAGAAACTATACTATTGCACGTGGGTTTAACATCAGGACAACTTACCGTTAATCTTTCCTTGGCATGGGCGTAACGGAATCGTTGAATATAGTAGAAGACCAACCATGCAAGGGAGATAATCATCAGCACGATGAAAGAAATAGAAACAAAGAGGACTGAAGTCTTGCTAATGTTGTGCGGATTGAAGGTGGGGTCATCTGTCTTGGGTAGCGTTACGGTTCCAACGGTTATATGCATCAACACTTTGTACTTCTTTTCTAAAAGACTCACAATATTTTGGCCTTCTTTGTGTTTAATGTAGATAGTTACAACGTCTTCAACTGAAAGAAGAAAGAAAATCAAAAGATAAAGTACATGTATTGATTAATAATATTATCAGCACACTGTAACTCCCATCTTACAAATTGCTTGGATATATATCTATAGTGAAACAGACAAAAGCGATTAAATGATAGGGAAAAAACAACCATGCATGCAGCACTGTCAGGAATTTGTACATGTGTTGGACTAAAGTTCATTAAAAACTTCTTAATAAATGAAAATCGTTGTGCTTGGGTTTTATCTAACAAAAAAAAATCCTTACTTAAACATTAATTAACCCTTTCAACACTGTAGACCATAATGGATTCATCCATATCAATTAATGGTAGAGGTTATTAAAGTTACATAGGGGTGAAAGGGTTAAAATGAATGGAACAACACAAAATTACATTACATCCAACAGTGCAAGTTAAGAAACATCAGTAGACTTCTGAAAAGGTGATTTCCTACACAGACCCTCCCTGGCAGGAAGCTTAGAATAAGTCCATCATTCGTCATATCTCTACGGTAAAATATTTTACAATCTTTTTAATCAAAAGCTGATAAAGTGCCTCAATCATATACGTTTCTTTGCACAACAGGTGAATTCATAATAAGTTCATGACTTGTTAAGCTTTAGTCATCAGATTTTATATATATTGAAATCTTTTATGGGACTTTGTTTTCCTTATTTGTTTTCTTGATATATATCATGTTTCAACAATTTGTATAGTTTTAAGGGAAAAAAAGTACAATTACTTTTGTTTCAAAAGGTTGAGATTTCAACAACGATGATTGGATATATATTCGGTTAATGTAAACCGATCGTTTTTTTTTATTATTAATTGGTTAGCCTATCGTAACATAATCCTTAAAAAAATATTACTTTTTTTTTAACAATGGCATGGCTTTTCCTTTTATTAATACTACTAATGAAAATTTCAACTTTTCCGGGTAGTTTCGTATCTTTATTTTTTATCATACCATTTCAACGTAACAATCTTTATTGATGAACAGTTATCATTTATATTTTTTGCAATTAGTTATATTTAAATAGCATGATTGGTAAGAAGTTAGAGTTAAGAGTAAAATGACATAGAACTCCTGTTCTCTCTTAGTGAAAATGAAAGTAGAACTCGCACTTCCAGTTTTGAAAACAATCATCGATGTTGACATCTCATAATTGATTGTCGTGAATCGGTTGCTTTTCCGACTAGATATCAATTACAAGAGGCCCAGAGGGCCTGTATCCCTCACCTGGATACCAAAGCAATCATGGCAAAATATTCTCCGAATGAGATCAAGGGAATATGCCAGACCCCAAGGCCAATCCTTGTAGCATATCTAGATCTGTATTAGATTTTTCATGCCCAGCAATTTTATGTATGGTTATGGGGTGGGGATCTCAACTGTTTCCAAGCTTTGACTCAGAAACTAGGTCCCTAGGGTTGTGGCCAGACCCCAGGATCAATTTTAATATCGTGACTGCATTTGTCATTTTTTGCCCAGCATTTGTATATTTAGTTTTGGGGTAGGGATCTCAACCGTTTCAAAGTTATGACCCAGGGGTTAAGTCTCCAAGGGTGGGGCAGTCCCCAAGGCCATCCTGGAAGCACATGTGCAATCATCTCTGTATACTCAGCAATTGTATATACTGTTACAGTGTGGGAATCTCCGCCCCACCATTTGTACAATTTTGAATCCCTGCCTCCCATGAATGCTTCCGACCAAATATGATCAATATCCATGGCACATGTACAGTTCTACAGAAGAAGTCGTTTATAGCAATATAGCCAAATTGCCCCCCTTTTGGCCCCGTCCTCGGCCCCCTTTGGGTAAGCCCCACCATTTGTACAATTTTGAATCCCCACCACCTAGGGATGCTTCCAGTCAAATATGGTTTATATCCACTTCTTAGTTCCAGAGAAGAAGTCGCTTAAAGCAATATAGCCAAATTGCCCCCTTTTGGCCCCGCCCCTCAGCCCCCTGGTGGGTCAGCACTACCATTTGTACAATTTTGAATCCCCACCACATAGGGGTGCTTCCAGTCAAATTTAGTTGAATTCCAATCAGTGGTTAAGAAGAAATCGTTTAAAGGAATTGTTGACGTACGGACGTACGGACGCAACGGTATGGCATAAGCTCACCTTGGTCCTTCAGACCAGGTGAGCTAATAATCAATCTTCAGGACAACTCTAAAAGGAATATTTATAAATTAAAAAAACACCTAAATAAAACCATTTTCTGATTTTGAATCATTAAATCGACATTTTAATTGCAGAAGAATTTTTATCTTTATACACACGAAATAACATGCAGTACCCTCACTTAATAAGAGTTATACAGTTGGAAATTTATTCACTGACACCCATTTCGAAAGATGTTTTACTGCATGTATCACTTTAGAGTCTTTATGATTATTACCAGGTTATGTTACTGTGTTGAACAAGTGTGGTTGGTGTTGTTGTTAGATAACCCACCAATTAATTAATTAACATATCCATCATTTCGAAATTCCACCTGTACCCTTCTTTAATTTATCCATCCCTTCAATAGTCTAGCTGCACCCTTATTTGATGTATCCATTCATTAAAAAATATCTTGCTTTGTCCTTGTATTAATTACTTCAACACTCAACACTCAGGCATAATAATTGGTAAGCACAGACAGCTTACAGCTGTGAGTTGGTCAGGGCCAAGTTCAGCCTGTGAGTTGACCTTGTCAGGTCAGTGTGAGTTGGCCTTCATCAGTCTGCGACTGGACCTCATTAAATGTCTGTGACCAGCTATAGACCATGCAAGTGTGTATTATGACTTCAGTAGATTGAATGTGAAGGCCATTTTGAGGGTATTCAATGTGTTGAATGTATGGGAACTAGCAAATTTGAATTATAATTAGTCAGTGCTTAGCCAGCTTGATTGCTGTACTACATATAGTCTACTATATACATATAAAGTACATACCCTACTCTCAAGTACAATGGGAAACAAGTTTAAATATGGCTAAGGAAGTACTTGATACTACGGTCCACTGTGAATAGTCTAATTATCATGTACATACAACATTATAACAGTTAAACCTAAACAAGGCAAATTATTGTGAATGCCAGTCCCCCATTGGTAATTATTAAAATAATTTCTATATAATTACCAAGTTAACTGTGCACTGACTGGTCATGTTCTCGGGACTGACCAACAATTTCAAAAATTATTCAAATCATATAGGTTCACCATCAGTGACCTTCTCTAGACAAAAAGTTTCAATGATTTGGGTCAGAGGTCAATATAGTGATCACATTTTTCCATATATGCCACATATACACTCGGCCATGATCCCTAGATGTACATGTAACCTGCTTATAATTACCTGACATGGAGATACATGTACTTTGTACAGCATCTGACTTTATTTCAGGGATTAAACTGACAACCCAAGGATGATGATGATGTACGTGCATTCTGAATTTCCTATTTACTCCATGTGATATAGTGTAGGAGATACATTATATTGAACCTGCAGTAAGCCCCAGATAAATAATTTCCTTGATGAGTCAAGCAAGAAAATATAGGTCACATAATCTGATTTTTGTATGTGATACTGCATGATAGCTTGTGCATTGGGTTGATATGTGGACTAAAATTTGTAAAATCACATGAAAAAGTATAGGATATACATCGTAGCCCCTATACAAACTGCAAGATGCAACTGCATACAAAATTGGCAACTCAAGTGTTTGGCTTGGTTTGGTCGATTTGGTTCAGCACTCTATGAACAGCTAAGGTAATTTATGGTCATGTCTCCATGCATGCAATGTATATGAGTGTGTGAATTTAATGAATTTAGAACCCAGAGGTACATTTATGTCAGTGACAAGCTTTTGGGATGGAAGAATGGACAGATGCATTGGATTTACACACAACTTAAAAAAACAAAAACACTTATTGATAAAGAGCAGGCCCTGGAGTCTGGAGGTGGTACTGGTATATATACTTATTTTATATAAAAATAAAATAAAATAATTTTATTTTTAAAGTTACATCGTATGATTGCAGTGGCGCAGAGCGGCCTGTCTTCGCTGGTAGGGCTCTCCCCAACCCTAAGGTAGCGCACTTTGAGTCACTGCAACCTACATGTTAATAATAATAAGAAGGGTAGTCTCACAATAATCTAATGTCGATATTGATCCCTATTACAAGTGGGTTTTTTTAATTTTTTTTTTTATGTTAAACAAACTATTTTTGGTTCTAGGAAACAGCCAACTGCAAGTATTTTATATGTACCAATGGAATTGATTTATATTTTGTACAAGTATTTTATATGTATTAATGAACATAAATGTAATTGTGATATGTGACACTTAAATAAACAAATTGAACTTGTACTTGAACTATATATCGCTGTATTTTATTAATACAGAAGCCATAGGTAAATGTATTTCAAAGAGAAACTTTCTGGGTGGAAGAATGGACATATACAACTCACACAATAGCAAACCCTAGAGTCTTCTCCAGTGAGGGACTTATAATATCCTACCATTTACACACTATGCAATGTACATACATGTACATCTATCCCTACTAACTTAAGCAATATTCTTTTTGAACCAAAATCTTGTTTGTCAAATGCATCAGAAATCCTCCATATGTATTTCCAGGAAACTTGTGTATATTGAGCGATTTGTGATTGAATAGAGTATAATCAGTATGGTAGCCTTTAGTATCGATTGTTTCTGGGTGTGTGCACATGAGGGCCGTGGATCAGTCTGGCACTTGGGCATTCTACATGTAGCTATAGGCTTTCAGAAAATCAGTATGGTGGAGTGCTAACACACATAAATAAAGAGAAAACATCTCCACAAACTTTTTTGTATCACATTTGCACAGACATATCCACAAATCAACTTTTATACTCAAACAGTAGGAAAATCATGCAACCTTTATAAAGAGAAAGAGCAAATTCACTTGAATTTTAACAATAATTACAACTGTACCTGGGCCAGATTGTTCAAAGCTTTTTTAGT